TTTTGCAATCTACTCATCTACAAAGGGCTAATATCCAGAATCTAAAAAGAACTCAAACAAATTTACAAGAAAAAAACAACCCCATCAAAAAATTGGGCAATGGATATGAACAGACACTTCTCAAAAGAAGACATCATCACTGGCTATCAGAGAAATGCAAATCAAAACTACAATGAGATACCATCTCATGCCAGTTAGAATGGCAATCATTAAAAAGTCAGGAAACAACAGGTGCTGGAGAGGATGTGGAGAAATAGGAACACTTTTTATACCTTTGGTGGGACTATAGACTGGTTCAGCCATTGTGGAAGACAGTGTGGTGACTCCTCAAGGATCTAGAACTAGAAATACCGTTTGACCCAGCCATCCCATTACTGGGTATATACCCAAAAGATTATAAATCATGCTGCTATAAAGACACATGCACATGTATGTTTATTGCAGCACTATTCACAATAGCAAAGACTTGGAACCAACCCAAATGTCCATCAGTGATAGACTGGATTAAGAAAATGTGACACATATACACCATGGAATACTATGCAGCCATAAAAAAGGATGAGTTCATGTCCTTTGTAGGGACAGGGATGAAGCTGAAAATCCTTCTGAGCAAACTATTGCAGGGACAGAAAACCAAACACCACATGTTCTCACTCATAGGTGGAAATTGAACAATGAGAACACTTGGACACAGGAAGGGGAACATCACACACCAGGGCCTGTCATGGGGTGGGGGGAGGGGAGAGAAATAGCATTAGGAGATATACCTAATGTAAATGACGAGTTAATGGGTGCAGCACACCAACATGGCACATGTATACATATGTAACAAACCTGCATGTTGTGCACATGTACCCTAGAACTTAAAGTATAATAATAATAAAAAAAAGAAATACGAAGAAGATTATATTTTAAAAAATACCTTAAAAAAAAAAAATCAGAAATTCCCATTCTCATGGAACTTACTTCTAGCAGGATGGATGACAGAAACAATACATTTTTAAAAAGTGAAGAAAAACAAAACAAAAAATCAACACAATTGTTCCACTACAGCCAAAGATGTAAAAATAATTTGAACCTTTCTGAATTATGAATATATATTTAACGAATCTATAAGAGTACCTGCACACTTTTAGTTTTTAAAACAAGTAAGCCAATGAAAGGATATTAAATGTTTTCCCAGTGAACTGCTGAAAGCTTATTTTCTGGACAATTCAAACTTTAGAAAGCAGGTTCTGGTTTTGTGGATCAGCAGCCCTTATTAGGTGCCATGTAACAGGTGGCTCCAGGGACTCATGTCCTATAAAAATATCACATTGATGAGGTTCTAATCAGTTCAAATGTTGTCATCTTCTAGTTTGGTGCCAGTGTAGTTATTTTAAAAGTGCAAAGTTTCCATTTTTAATTGGTGTTCAGTTTGTCTCTTAAAACATTGGTTTGGTTTTAAGTTAAATGCAAGTTAAAATGAACAACCTGGGCTCTGTCCTGGCATCAACAAACTTGTGCATTATTTTTATCCTGTATATTATTCTGTTGTTAGTTTAATTGCCTGAACAAGTCACAGACCTAGGTGTTCCACGTGTGCATATGTTTTGCATACAATACAACCCAAGCATTGTAGCCAGAGCAGAACAAGAACCATGCGGGAGGGGGCAATGGGCTCACACTCACAGGGTACAATTCACAGTGGGGGCTGATCCTGCTCCAGGCAGCGCTGGATGTGGCCTGACTTCTCAACAGAGAAACAGCCAGTGAAGAGGGAAAACACAATACACTCAACTCCCCTGCTTCAGCTGCAAAGACTAAACCATCAGAGCTAGTCCCGAAAAACCCAAAGCCCTTCAAGTACTGCTTAGGAATCTTTCTTGAAGAACCAGCGGCCTCCCGTTCCCCCACCAGCCCTGTTCTGGGGAGCAAGGACAGGTTTGCAGTCTGAGGACTGGAATCCCCTCTCCCTGTGCCAGCACAGAAATGTGTTGCTAGCATTTGCAGAAACAAGTAAATGATGTGGTGTGTGCATCCTTAATCTCTCTTTTAATGTCTCCAACAATCTAGTGGTTAATTACCAATTTGCTGCCCACCAATATGCAAATGAATGACAAGCAAAGGTTCTCTGCATCTGTAATTATTTTGCTGATTTACAAGCCTCTTTCCTCTCAGTGTAGGTTTTTCTGTGTGTGTGCATTCATGCATCAGGGATTTCATTATTTTTTGAAGCAGTCTGTGCATTTTTATCCTTTAATACTTTCAGACTTCAGTGATCACAGTATTTTGAAAAAAGAATATATATATATATGTGTGTGTGTGTGTGTGTATATATATATAAAAATATATATACTTCCTTCCACCCCTCAACTCCAAATGCATTTGTCAGGGATTCTTTTCTTTGATAAAGAGTGGAGAGTAAGATTTATCAAGGGGCTGTAATCCAAATTGCAGAAAGTCAGAACGCAAGATTGAAAGATACACATTTTTGCTGCTGCCAAGTCCTTATCTGGAATCAGAGTCTAGTAATATTTTATTTTCTCCCAAGCAGCTCTGGTGAGTCGAGCCACGATCTGCGTTATCCATCTGCCTACTTTGGAGCGGGGTGTTGTACTATTTGGCGGCTTAAACGCTTTACGTTCTTGCCAGGGCATTAAGAAAGGCTCTCATGTTAAATTAAGTCAATTAATAAATGGAGACACATTAAGCAATCAATTTTGTCAGCCTATCTCCCCAGCATTAGGTATGGTTGGCTGTAATCACAAGATAAATGCAATGTGCTGATCTATGGTAATGTTCAATAATACATTCTCCGCCAGGCTCAATTCATCAGGGAGTTTCGGTAGGGAAGGCATTTGTTATTGGCTGTCTCTGCACCTCAAGGATAACATTTCTGTCCTTTTGATTGGCCGCCTCACTGCTGCAAGATTCTAACCGTCTTATTTTGATGATGAATATGAAGGCGCGCTAAGCCGGGCTGGCGCGGAGTGTCTCAGAGGCTGCGCTCCTTCCAGAGCCCAAGGACTCACAGCTTCCTCCGCTGCCTTCCCGGGCCAACAACCCCCCAAAAGTTGTGATGCTTTTCTTTACCCAGTGCTTTGGGGCTGTATTAGATCTCATTCATCTCCGATTTCAGCACTACAAAGCTAAACGGGTTTTCTCCGCTGCCGGGCAACTTGTCTGTGTCGTCAACCCCACTCACAACCTAAAGGTGAGTCTCTGTGTCATTTTATCTTCACCGGGCTCAGGTTCAAGTCGTTTCTCGGAGGCGGCAGCGACCCTCCGGCGAGCGCGTGCAGCCCTTTGCAAAGCCGGGTCGCGGGGGCTGGGACTGTGTCTGGAAGCCGGCGCGTTTGCCTCGGCTCACTCTCGCTCTCTAGGTGGCTGGGTGCTGTTAGTGACCGAGTGTTGTTTCCCCAACTGGCAGGAAAAATTGGATTGATGGTCTGGTGTCTTTCCCCGACGCTGTCAACCCGAGAGTGGCGTGGGGGGCAGAAGTGAGGGTGGTGGCGGGAACAGGGGGGCGTCCCTATCGCTCCCCCTAGTATTTGTGGGCAAGTGCTCGGGAGACAGGATTTGAAGTTAGCCAAATTGCTCTCTGTCCCATGTGTTGGGAGAGGTGGTCAAACACGAGGATTTTAGACGCTACTGCGGGGTGAGGAATCCTGAAACAGGGACCTGAAGGTTGGTGGGGTTGGGGGAGGGTTCTTTCTGCAAAGTGTTTGTCCTTGTCCTCAGACTCGTGTGTGTGTGTGTGTGTGTGTGTGTGTGTGTGTGTGGTGTCGAGAGGATTTTGGCTTATTTCCTTCCTGCTGGTTAGATGCGCTCCTTGTACTGGAGCAGGATTTGCCTGGATTGTGTAATAATGTAATCAGCTCCGAGCTGCTGCCGCGGCTGCCTGGAGCTCCCTAGGCAGCTGGGTGCTGGGTTGCTCGTGGCTGCCTAGCTGCCCCGCGGCCTCTGCATCTGCACCCTCAGGTCAGTGCCCTTTTAGAGACCAGACAAAATATGGGGTCCGGCAGAGCCGCTAAACATCACAGCCAAGACTGACCGGGAAAGGAACGCTGGGCCATGGGCTAGTGGTAGGGAGGAGGGGAAGTCAGCGGAGTGGGGGCTGGGGAGACGGTGAAGCTGAACTCCCCGGATGGGAAACTCAGCACCTTGCCTCTCTCCTAACATAAAAGGTGGACTCGTTGGAAGTTCCTTTCCTGTCCTCCTGTGTAAGGCAGACAGGACTGAGCGCCGGGAGGAGGGACCATGTCTGCAGCGCCCGTGCCGACAGTCTCTGTGAGGATAAATCTGTCCCTCTGACCACTGCTGTTGGGGAGGAAGGGCACTGCCTGTTGTCCAATACTTTATAAACTCCCACGGTCAGACTATCCTCAGCTGGGGCGCCGCAGGTCAGCGCTGATGGGTACCCCCACTCCTAGAAGTTCCGCGGAAAGACAGCTGCCTGGAGCTGCTGGGGCTACATGCCAAGGCCAGTCCTGGTGGAGGAGCGATGGACTGTCCTGGGACCCCTATGGTGCACCTGACCTAGGATCTGACTCTCTCTGGTACCCCAGCTGTGACCAATACCATCGCATGCAACTGTTCACACCTGCTCTTGCTTGCGAGCTGTTTCCTCTCATTCCACTATTTCTCTTCTTCTTGTATAATTTAGTTTTATAAATAAGAATTCACACCAGTCACCCTTGGCAAAGCAAGTAGATAGCATACACATTAAAACATAATTCTGAATTCCGTTTTATGGCCACTTTTGAGACCGCATTCAAACTTCCATTATTTTGTCACTTTGCATTAGTTAGTTCCCTGGGGCAAGAAATTTTGTTTACTTCTGTTTTGTATTTTAATACCTTTAAAAATTGCTTATGAGACTTTAGCATTTCTGAAGTTTGAATTTATATGGTTCATTGACTGCAGCTGATGAAGAATAGCCAGGTGTTAAGGTCTCTGTGTGGAGCCAGAGGAAACCACTTGTGTGTATTTCTCAATGATGTCTGCCTGGATATTGACAAATCATCTTCCCGCCCTGACCCAGGAGTTCAGAGTTAGGGTTGGAGGCCTTGAGTCAGCTCTGGCCAGCTGTGTGAAATTGAACCCCTCCTGCACCTCTTTGAGCCTTCCCTTCCTCACCTTTTAAATGGGCTTATGAACATCTGCCCTTTCTCCGCCTCAGCTTTTGAGACTGAAGAGAGGTATCAGAGGTGTTTCATAACTCTCCCCTAAAAATAATGTATGTTATTGTATATATAATTTGTAGAGTTCCAATAGCAAATTCAAAAGTTGTCGCTTAACACATTCAGGCAATTTAGAAATCATATAATCAGTAACATAAAAATGGATGACATGCTTTGAGAGGCCAGGGCTCACTTTTTCACTTACACGCTTATCTGGCTTTTCATTTCCCATAAAAAAACACTTAGGGATTTTCGCTCAGAGAAACATCACCCCAGATAAAGCAAGTTGAGTGCTGCTAATGTCCCCAGGATGTGGAATGAGGCACACAGGATTTGGAGAGGGCTCCAGGTAGGGAGAGACCTGGAGGGTGCAGGTGGCCCATCAGGTAAGTTGTACCCCCTTCTCAAACCTAAGGGCTAATAGTCATTTGCAGAGCTTTAAAAGGACTAACTCTATAGGCGCGTCACTGCCCCACTGCTTGTATTAAAAAGCACATGTAACCTCAAAAAAAAAATCTCTTTCTAAACACTAATTTCCATAAACAGACCACAGAAATATGCCTTGGATGTAATAAGCTGTGATCTATGTAATGAGGAGGAATGTCCTTTTTTTTAGAGGAAAAAAAAAATTCTGTGGCAATATTAACCCAGAATAGCTATTGATCTGCTGTGCTTCCCCCACACTTTGTATGACAGGCCAGTACATGAAATGGTGACCAAGGACGGAGAGACTACAACCTTGCTTTCAATTTTCTGGGTTGCGTGTAGCTACAAAGAGGGCTGGGAAGCTTGTGTTTTTCTTTGTGGAAGCATTTATGTGTTTTATCCTTTCCTGGGCTTTCCCGAGAATTCGAACCAACAGCATTTTAGAACCTGAGGCAAGTGCTGAGTTATAATCAAAATTCACTTACAAAGCAAAGAAAATTGTGTATTTGCCATGCTTCTATAGGTCACCTTCATTCTCAATCTTATTATGGTGATTACTCAGTAACCTGGGATTCCTTCAAGCAAGCTGATGCCTTTCCTTCTAAATGGAAGGCAGAGCCTTCCTGGGGACATCAGATCCTCTGGTTAAAGCCATTACACCCCTGAAGCTCACCCTAATTAAAAGGGACATTTAGAGTAGCCCGCCTTGAACATAAGAGACCTCAGCTTTCAGTGAGTGCCAGGCAGTGGAGTGCAAACAAGACCTTTTCCCTCAGTCTCTGTCTCTGTCTCTGAGGACCACTTGCACAGATTAGGGTTCCAAACAGTGCCCACACTTCTTTCCACCCTGTGAAAAGTGACCGTCAAGGAGCCAGCTCTCTTGGCCGGCTGCCCTCTGCTTCCTCATTCACAGTGGTTATTGAAATGTGGCGAGCAGGCTTCAGGCTGGCGCTCATGAGGACACCTGCTCCGGGTCCTGATTCAGCACTCCTCTCTCCCTCCTGTCCTTTTCTTGTTTCTAAACGAAGAAAGCCTTTCTCTCCTGGCTCCACTCCCACTGGCACTAGCTGCTTCTACAGTGTCCTGCCCTGGGCGGCCCTGCCTTGTTTTGCACCATCTGCAGAGGTGCCCTTTGAGGGGAGGATCGGTCAGTCCTTGTGCCCAGGTTTTTCCAGAGAAGGCTCTGTAGTGCTAGCCAGAGCCCTTCTGGCGTCGGTCATGAGCACTTCCCAAGCAGGCAGTAGCTAGGCTGAGGCTGGCTGAGTGGCTTCCTCCTCTTAACCACAGCCTTTGATAAACAAGTTTCTGAAAGAAGAATAGCAAAATGCTTTCTGGCAAAGTTCCATGAGGCCCTCTCTGATACCTCCACACCGTGCCTGCACCACCCCAGACAACCCCATTAACCTTGGGTTACAACAGAAACACACACACACACACACACACACACACACACACAAACACATGGAATGGGAGGGGCATATGGGACAATCGTGGCTTTAAGTGCCTGACAGATATGAAATCTAAAGCTAGGGCACTTCAGTACCATTTGTTGATGCATCCACGTGCCTTTCATTCTAAGACCAACCTGTGTGGATAAATGTGTATTGAGTGGCAGTGGGGAGGGTGGGAGCTGTAAGGAAGAGGAGGAGGCAGGACCAGGAAAGGAGAGATGTGAGATGTGTGCCCGCCTTTGCCATTTATGGGATAATCTTTGGAAATCCCGTGCTGCACCGGGCTTTGCTAACTCTGTTTCACGCAGCACAGCAGGCGGCTGAATGAGAGGTAAAGACCTGAGCATTGTCTTTAGAGATTTAGAGGTGGCCTTTGGAGTGTTCTGCATGAATACCTACTTTAAAGCAGTTAAAGGCTTCCTACGAGATTGTTTAATAGCTGGTATGTGGGTTACTCAGTTCCTCTCCACACAGTCACCTCTGATGGTCCCATTCCCAGAGCTCTGGGCATTTCACAGTCTTCTTTCTCTGTCCAGTCTGGAGCCACTTTGCCAGAGGGGCTGGAGAAAGGGTAAGGAAGGGGACCCCAAGCTGGTGGGGGTCACTGTGCGAGCGTTATTCTAAAGGCTTTGCAGCCGGAATAACGGAAGAGGCTTTGCAGCCTCTTCCGGCCCATGGGTTTCTGTGAATATTGTATGACACTCCACTCTGTGGGCTCAGAGCAGTCGTGCGGCTTTTCTGGTTAATAGTGATTGCAAATGAGGCTCCTGAGTCACATAACGGGGAGGCCCAGAGCCCGGAGCAGTAATTTGGTTAGCCGTGTGCCAGTGATTGAGTTGCAGGGGAGGCTGAAGCTGGCGGCTGTGATGAGGTGAGCCGATTACCTCTGTGCTACATTTATCCAGCAGCCTCAAAGCAAATTTGGTGGAATTCTCTTCACCGTGATCCCTCAACCTGCAGGGACTGTTTGGGAAAATTAGAAAATAGATACTGAAAGCTTTCTTTGAAATCCACAGAGAGGTCTGAGTCATTTGGATGGCTTCCCTGGGGTAAGATGGATTATTTTCCTAGCAATTAACAACAAGAAAAAAAATTAACTGTCTGTGGAGATCTCTTACCCTTAGCAAAGTCATCTTCATCCACTAGCTCTGTTC